AGGTCAAGATATACGCGCCATACAGGACGCACTATGGACTGAGAAGATCTTAGAGAAGTTTCCGTACAACATTGTGAAGAGTGTCCTTATTTCGATCCAAAACAGGGACAACGTCACTATCGAAGATGTTATGCAAGAAGTAGAAAAGGAGATCACAGCGAAGCAATTCGTTGAATCCAGGTTGAAAAACAGACCTAATTCTGAAGAAAACAAAAAGAGGGAATATCAACCTAAAGAGGGTTTTAAGCAATCTTTCAAGAGCTGTGTATTCTGCAGCCAAACCAACCACCTATCAACAAATTGCAGAACCATTACAGATCCTCTAGCGAGAAGAAATGTCGTGAGAGACAAAAAACTGTGTTGGAAATGCCTATCTGCAAATCATAGCAGTTTCGAATGCTCATGGGCAAATTGCCCACAATGTGGCCAGCAGCATAACAAAAGTCTATGCATCTCGGGTACAGTACCCCCGCAAAAGAGAGACACTAATCGAAACAATAGACCATATGCAGGTAATAAAATGACATCGCAACAGCTAGCAGCGGACAACCGACCGCACAAAGAACCGTGGCGCAATCAACAAAGTGATGGACGCCATAATTCAAATCAAGCTAACATACACACATCAAAGGGTGAGATGTCAGAGATGGAACAATGCATTGAAGAACATATGCACCGGCGCAAAGAACAAATAGTTCTTATGACGGCCGTTGGCAACATCTGGAACTACAAGTCACAAAAGTTTGAACAACTACTATTCTTCTTCGACACAGGTGCTCAGAGAACAATAATCAGCGAAGAAATTTCGCACAGATTTGGTCTACCAACCAGTAGAACTGAAGTGTGCACGATGTCAGGACTCGGTGGACACATCGAGAAATTCCAAAGCAATTTCGTAACGCTAAAAGTTAGCGATGCTTACAGGCAAGAACTCGAATTTCAAGTTCAAACAGCTTTCCATCGGCTAAATTAACAGACTCCGACAAAAAATTCCTCAAAGCAAATGGAATTCAACTATGCAATTCGCGGAGAACATCAAACACCTCACATACGAGTGGGATTGGACTACTACTTCAATTTGGTGATAGATCACAATAAAAGCACAACGCCATCTGGCCTACGCATCGCGAAGACCGTGTTTGGACCAACAGTATATGGTCATGGAACCCTTAGCGGCAGTCATGAGCCAGATCCGTGCCTCGAATACGGTTTAACGGCCATGGTCGACTGTAATGAAAAAGAAATTCTTCAGAAACTCTTCGAACTTGAAGGACTGGGAATATCGCCAGACGAAAACCATCAGGACGACAGAGCAGTTAACTATCTAGCCTCATTCTCACAACAGATATCGTTCG